CAAAAGTCATGGAAAAATAAGTGATCATTTCTGACAAGGTTTATATTGCCATACCTTATTCCCATGCACTGTTTTTTCCTTCTATGCCTGGAACCCTTAATGAACTCTCTGCACCCTTCCTAGGTTTTGTGTTGATTTTAGGAGGGATTTAGCCTTAAATTTCATTCTCTGGGTCTTAATATTATCATCACAGTTACAATGCCTAAACAGTTTGCAAACCCTTTATTGAAAGGTCTACTTTTGCATAGTCATACTGGCCGCCTAATATTTCTGTCATAATATTCACTTATGATCACTGCATGTCCTCAAAATATCCTTTTTCTAAAAATTTTCTTTTTCTTTTCCTTTGTGTCAACATCTACTTGCCAAGATTATGTTTTCTTTCTTTTCTTATTTTCTGCTGTTCTTGACAGCTTGATTTAAGCCAGTACAGTTAAACCTTCTCCGCACTTTTCCCTCCACCAGCACCATTTGACCAGTAAACATATTTACATCATGGGCTTCCCTTATGATGTCTTTGCTGGAGTTAATTACGAAGAGCTGAGCCATCTCTTGAAATTTAGTAATGTCTGTTGGTGCTAAAATAATAAGTAGTTCTCAAACTAACACTGCATTGCATTGAATGCAGTTGTGTATACCCATTCATAAAATACTAGCATGTGATGTAGTATGGTGAAAAAGGATTAGGAAAAAGAGGGAAGAAAGTTGAAGATGATTTTCAATTCGGAAGTCAGATTAGTTGTCAGACATTGATTATAGTTCTCATGGATCATCTCTTAAAGTGTCTCAATTTTTGAATTTGTATATGGAAAATTTCATAGAATATTACAAAATAGATTCAGTCTCTGATATTCATTCTTGCTGAGTAATGAATTTTTCATTATTAAAAACTCCCAGAGCCCCCAAATTTCTTACATCTAAAAAGTTATCATGGACTTGTAATTTCTCCTAGGAGATGAAATATTTACTTTTCCCTCCAAGTTCTCTAATAAGTTCTTACATGAAAAATAGCCAATAGCTAAGAAAATCATGAAGAAAGCTTTTGTCTTTTCCATTGGAAATGAGGCTTTTCATCTACATGAGTTCCTTACATCAAGAGTTTGTTAGAAAACCTCTAATGTCTAGATTCTCCTACCTGACCAAGAGTTATGACCCCATAATAAGAATCTTACATTCCATTATGAAGTCATTTTTCTAGTGATCTCTCTAACAGTCACTTCAAGGGCAAATTCACTGGGTCATTAAAGACCAGTACTTCCAGGGGAAACTGTTCATGTTTAATTGTTGTAGAGCCATGGCATGATTATATAATTTAATGTTAACTTGTTATTTTCCAGTTTATTTTATGTTATTTGAGAGATAAAGAAAAAGATAGTTCCCATCAGCTGATTTATTCTGCAAGTGTCTGCAATAGTAGGGTTTGTTCCAGGCTGTAACTGAGAGCTGGAAACTCAATCAAGGTCTCCCACATTGGGTCAGACATCTAACTATCTAACCTGCTGCCTCCCAAGGTGAATACACAAAGAAAGTTGGAATTGAGAACAGAGCCATGACTTTAAACCCTTATACTCTGATATGGGATGCAGGCATCACAAGTGGTGTCTTAACCAGTATGCCGAATGACTGACTGCCTCAGATCAGTAGATGCATATTATGTTTTTAACTAGAAAGAGAAACAAACAAACAAAAAATCACCTTAGAATGAGTCATTTGAGACATTGTTTTTTTTTTTCAGACCTATAAGTTTACCTTTTGACCTTGTTTCCCACAATTGCAAGACTATGACTCAGTAGATCCAGGGTAAACTAATAGGTTAGGGCACCATTATTTTACAATGAAGGACAATTTTTCTAGATCCTTTCATTTGTTATTGAGATCATTCTTTTTATTCAGTGCCATATGGATTACTACTTCCTTAAGACACACTGCCTACTCTTTTATATTTAACATAAAACATAAGTAAACAGAGGTATCCATGAAAACACAAGGCCATTGTGTTGTGATTTGTGTTGTAATACCTGGATTGCATAATAGGGCAGGAAGTTGGAAACAATCAGGTGGATATTTTGCCTAGCAGTTAAGATGCCCATTAGAACAACTGCTTCCTGTGTTCAATTCTCCAAATCCAACTTCAGGGAAAGCTGCAGAAAATGGTTCAGATATGTGAATCCCTGTCACCTTCATGAGAGATCTGAAATGTTGATCTGGCTCTGGTCCAAGACCTAGCCTGAAATAAGGGTTTTTCGTGGAATAGATCAGCTCTGCCTTTCTTATGTGCCAGATCATACTAAGTACTCCTGTAAATATGTAATAGATAAATACATGCTATATTGTAAGCATGTAAAATGTGTCAGTGGTAAATGAATTGAATGAGTGTTGATTTCCACTTGATAAAGGCAGACTGTGCTGCTGATCCAAAGATCAATAATGGAATGGTGTCCTACAAAAGAATTTTATCACCAAAGCAGAGATTAGATGATGATCAGCTTTCCAAAAATTCATAAGGAACTTTTTAATATAGTAAGAATTTGGGTTAAATGAGCATTATGGTCCAACATGATCCTTCAATTATATGCAATTTTTTTTGGTGGAGAGAGAAATGTACACTTTAAAAAACTATTTATTTTTATTGGAAAATCAGATATATAGAGAGGAGGAGAGACAGAGAAGATCTTCAATCCATTGATTCATTCCCCCAAGTGGCTGCAATGGCTGGAACTGAGCCAATATGAAGCCAGGAGCCAGGAGCTTCTTCCAGGTCCCAACGCGTGCAGGGTCCCACGGCTTTGGGCCTTCCTCTACTGCTTTCCCAGGCAGGGAGCTGGATGGTAAGTGGAGCAGCTAGTACACAACCCAGTGCCCATATGGGATCATGGCAGTTACAAGGTGAGGAGGATTTAGACACTAGGCTATCATGCCAGGCCCGAAATGTGAGTTTTTTTGTTTGTTTGTTTTGTTTTTGTTTTTAAAAAACAAGAACAAAACAGACTTGTTAGTCTTTGAGGTGAAAGAATCCCAGATTTTCCAGACGGAGGCTCTCAGCTGTGAAGATAGAGAGGCTACTGCTCCCATGACATAGTCATAGATTAAGGCATAGGGCGGTACGATGGAGGAAAGAAGAATGACCTGAAATTATAGCCTAACCCATTTGAAGGCTTGCATTGTCTCCTGGCCGGATGTGTCATCACTGTTAAGAAATGGCTTTTTCCAAGAATAGGACACTAGAATACATTTAAAGTCTTGATGAATCATGGGAAGATTTTCTGATGATTACATAACGTGCTCCAAATTAGTGCCACTTTGCATTTGGATTATGCATGAGCAATTCTTAACAAATTCACATTTATTGTTTAATTAGAAAAATGAGATGACCTCAATAAGTTTATGGAAAATAAAGTTTATGAAACTTGTTTGGTACAAAACATTTTTGAAATCCATGCATACAATGTATTCATGGAAAATGTATATTATGAAAACTATACTTTGAAATGCTTTTGCATTGAAACACATTTTAATATAATATTCCTGTATACTTTAAAAAAAGAATTTATTTTTACATATTTGAAATAAGAGTTGAGAAAGAGAAATCTTCCGTCTGCTCTTTCATGCCCCAAATGTCCAATAATGGCCAGGGTTAGGCCGTACCAAAACCAGAAGCCATGGGCCGCCTCTGGATTGCCCATGAGGGTACAGAGTCCATCTGCTGCTGATTTCCCAGGCACATTAGCAGTAATCTGAATCAGCAGTGGAGCCAGGGTTAGAACTGGAACTCACGAGGAATGCCAGTGTGCAGATTTCTTTAACATCTATATCACAGGCCGGGCTGTGGTTGATGTGGTGTTATGAATTGATGTCAATCTGAAACAGTAATATTATTTCAACCCCAAACAACCTGTATCTCATGCAATAAGATATTGTGAAGTAATCAAGGAATCAATAATCGATATGAGTAGACTGCTTCTGATCTACATCAAAGAATTGTAAAATTGTAAGGCTCTAAACAAGATGGAAGAATCCACCATGGGGGGGGGAGCGGGTTTTGGGGAGGGGAGGTGGGAATCCCAGAAGCTGAAATTCAGTGTTTCCCGTAAACACAGAATTTACAGAACAAATAATAATTAGCTAAAACAAGAAGCTAAGCATAGTATAGTCCTACGGCATGTGAAGTAAACAGAAGAAAAATCAAACAAGTTTATTTTTAATAAAAATGGATAACATCTTTTTTTTAACAATTAAAAAAAATTCTAGAACAGTATTGTTCATTGATGTTTGTGCATTTGCATATGTATGTGTCTGTATTATGTGTGTGTTGTGTGGCTATGTGTATTTCTGTTTCTTGGAAGATAATTTGGATTCTTTGAACAAAAATTTTCTTTGTACCAGATTTGTGTGCTCCCAATTTTAAGGATTACTTACTTTTATTTCAAATGCAGATTTACAGAGAGAAGGAGAGACAGTGACATCTCCATCCATTGATTTACTCCTCAACTGGCCACAATGGCCTGAGCTGAGCCAGTGTGAGCCAGGTGGCAGGAGTTTCTTCCAGATCTCCCATGTGGTTGTAGGATTGAAGGCCTTTGGCCATTCTCTACTGCCTTCTCAGGCCATAAGCAGGGTGCTGGATTGGAAATGGAGTGGCTAGGACATGAACCGGCGCCTGATAGGATGCTTACAGTAGCATGCAGTGAAATTGAGTCACCATGCCAGCCCTCTATTTTCATTTTTAACTGAGATATTAAATTGTGATCTGAGAAACAAATATAAACAGAAGTAAAGATGAGCTTTTTGAGGGAGATAAGTTTATTGAAGTATTTAACAAAAAAACAATCTGAATTTGTAAGGAGAGCACAATCACCTCCTCCACTCAGAAAAGTTGACTGTGAACATGGCTTCATTCCCACTCAGATCATGTTGAAGATGAAGAGAAGTCATTTGGAGCCCATGGATAATGGAGTAAGTGACAAATATGTTTTTGCTATCTACCAGCACCCCTTGAGAAATTAACATGTTCCTTCATGAAGAAATTGAACTCTTCCATTGCTCTTCCTAAAAGAAGACAAATTTATCAAAATTCAGTAACACAAGAGAAGTCCTCATGTGATTATAGACCTGAAAGAAAATCTTGCATTTATGAGGTACAACTGTATTTATAGATGAGGGAACTGAGTCTCCCAAAGGTATGTCCTTGTCACAAGTAGTTTTGACATAAGCCAAGTTTCCCTAATGCAGAGAAGATTCTGCCCCATCTCTTACTGTTTTTGTCTCAAGTCCCAGGTGATCATTCAGCTTCTTTACAATGAAGAATGACAACTAACAAAGAAAGTGAAGTTTTGCTATCCCTTGGCTTTTCCCAGTCCACCATGTTTCCTTGTCCATGTCCCTTGAACACAGCAACTTTCCTGGCTGAAGGCAAAGTGTTTGAATGCCTTGCAGAATCTTTCCTTTTATCAATTAAAACTTGCAGAATAGGAATAAATACATGTCCTTCTGGGCTCAGGGTTTAAATGATATTCTTATTTGTTGAGAAAATCACAAAGATAAGAAATACAAGATCTAAGATAATTGGCTAAAATCCAGGGTCCTAAAGGAGAGTTAATGAAGTTCAAAGCGGACTTAATTTCAGGGAGTGTTAAGCTGCACACATGCACTGAAAAAGTGACATCTGCCTAGTTACATTTCTCCAAAAACAGTGTGTGGGCCAAGCACAGAATACATAAGCAAAATATGTCCATGAGATTCTGGTCCAAGTACTGACAGCTTGCATCCTCTATTTTAGATAAAAGAAAAACAATCACTTTGGCAACCTTACTTCTTCTTAAGGCTACAGAGATTTAAGAATTCTAGGAAATTGAGTACAAAGGATCTCTAGACATGGTGTATCTAAGAATGAACTTGTGTTAGGGTCATTAAATATCAAATAGAAATCATAGGTAGTGGTTTTCAGTTATTTTTTTGAAGATGAAATTTAGAATCCTTTCTTCAAACAACATGGGCCTATACAGAACCCCTGGTTCCAGAGAAAGCAGTCTGGGAACTCATGTTAGATTTTCACAGTTGACTGACTAGAACTGGAGGTTCTGTGATGGGACGGGAGCAATCTAAGCTGAAGGGTAGGCAGCCCCTCCCTAGCCTGACTGGACAGAGTCAGTTTTCTGACCTGATTAGCCAGTATGTGTATGAATAAGTGCATCCCATAGAGAGCTGAGCAGATTGTTTCAATGAGGAGGATTTGTAGTGAAGAATATTAGCTTCAGATCTCCTTTGATTCCCATGAAGTACTCACAAGGTCTCAGTACACAGGTGACATTCATTCCCGTAGGTGATGTAGTCAGAACCACAAACCGGCAGGTATGTGATAGGGCAAGGAATGGCCACCACTGGGTACTTCTTATATATGCTGCAGTCCACCTGGTCAGACACAAAAGAATGTGCTGCTTTGCTCACAGACCTCAGATGAGTCTGTTCTGGCTGCAAGAGCTCAAAGCTCCAGCTTAATATTTTGGTGCTGCTGTGGCTACTTCTGTAAGGAATAATATTACCAATGTGATGACTAGTGGTACTACCAGAAAGGCTTAGATTTTTTCCTACTACACTCACTTAACAATTGAGCACTTGAGCATCCTTAATTCTTCATGGATTTTCTTTAATATTTTGGTCACTTGAATAGGGTAGCTTTTCTATGAGCTCTTTTACAGTTGAGGAAATTAGAGCTCTGAAACATAGCTTGTGTAAGGTGAATGATGATAAATGGTAGAGTTGGAATTTGATTCTATAGGCTGTACCTCTGTCCTGCCTCTCACAAGTCATCCCTTGCATGAAAATGTCACTAGCCTCTTTTGAAAGGCAGTTTGCTCCTTTAATTCTGGAAATTTTAAAAATAAATATTAAGGGTATAGACTTTGTAGTCACCTGTATGTTATATTTCTTAAGTGGTATTCTGGAAATAAAGGCCATTTCATCTGTGTTTACTTCCACTTTCAACCTCCATAAATACACAAATTAATTCTGTATTTAGAAGTATTCTCTGATTGTCAATAGCAATTGAAATAAAATATTCAACATACTCACCGTTGTTATTGGCAGACTGTTAACTTCTGAAAGAAATATGGGTAGAAAGTTAAAGTAAAGCACTCACTGGTTGATTTGTTCTGTCCTACAGCTAAAGGCTGTGTTATCTCCCCTGGCAGTGAGTCTCAACACATTCCCCATCCTTATGCAACATCCCAGTTATTTCATAAGAAAGTTGAATGGCCAGAGGTTAGAGAGGTCCTTAGTTCAGACAGAATAACCTCTTTGTGTTGACCACTGAACATTTTTTGGAGCTCATGCGTTTTGATAATGGCTCAAAGCAGGTTGCAATCTTTTCCCTTCTCTTGAAAATAAAGAATATGATTTGAAATTTAGAAAGTTTAATTAAGTAGTCTTCAGAATATACATGTTTAATTATCTCCTAACTTTTGAAGCATTGTGTTTAATTTTGATCCTCCTATATTAATTTGGGGAAATCCAAGTTTTCCCATATCTTTGCAGAGTGGAATGGTTTTTAATTACTGCAACTTTCAGCGTCTTTATTAAATGGACACTTAACAGAGAAGTTAGGAAATTTTTGGTCCTTAGATGCAAATAAAGATCTTTGAAAAGGAAGACATGAGATCCAAATCCTTCCACCTCGTTCTAGAACACAAAAATTTCTCTTTCCAGGCTAGGGCTATCTCTGTCTACAGTCCAAAGCACTTTGAATCCACACAAGCACACACTGGTCTCATTTGCTTTTATGCCAGAAAAGGAAAAGGGGCTAAGTTTTGTGTGGGACACTGTCTTCCTGTAACTCACCAGAGCTGCTGCAGAGATGGGTTGCTGCACAGAGCAGGAGGAACACCTCAGTGAGCTTCAGGGTGGACATGGCTGTGATGCAGAGGCGGCTTGGAGAAGAACACAGCTGAATGGCTGTATCCTAGGAAAAGGATCACATTTATATGGCAAGCCTCAGTTCCTCCACCTCTCCTATGAGGTCATCCAGAGCCAGTATTAGCCCTGAGAGAATCTCATACATTGTCACACTGTGGGCGTTGTTGCAGTTGTTGTCACTTAATTGCTACTTCCTATGTGATCAACAAATTGATTATTTGAGGACAGAGGCATTTTTCTGCCTTCTGCATAGGTGTGGGCCATTGATTGGTATTTATTCAAACTTCAGATAGTAGAAAATATTAAGCATGGACCACTTGGCCTAGTTATAAAATAAATGAAAAACTTTCTTTTCATTGTCAAAGCAGAAGATATTAAATCTGTATTAGATAGTTTGAATCAACTATTTCCTTTTGGCTCCTGGGAATATATTGTTTTATTTTGAGGCAGTGAACCTGATAGAAGAAACAGTGACCTTGGCGTTAGTGAGGTTTGAAGGACACTGAAATGTTACTCTTGACAGCATTTGGCCCAGTGGCTTTAAATTTAAGTATTGTAAATGTGGTTAGCTTGTTATCAGTTAGGAAGGATGGGCTGCTCTGTAGCATATGTCTCAAAGATTTCTGTGACTTAAAACAATGCATTAATTTGTTTCTTTATAAAAATATGCATTTATTTATTTTAGAGATAGAGAGGCAAACAGAGTGGAAATAAGCAATATTTTTTCTTCCTAAAGTACATATTCTATTTGAGGGACAGAGGAAGAAAAAGTGAAGAAGGGAAGGAGAGGGGGAGGGAGGGAATGGAGAGACAGAAGGAGAGAGAGAGCGCACTTCTGCCCTTGAATTAGTTCATCAAGAGCCAAGCAGCCAGACTTGGCCAGGCTAAAGACAAAAGCCAGAAACGCAGTCCTGGTCCCCACGAGTATAGCAAGGATCCAAGTACTAGTATGGTCACCTGCTGCCAGATTATGAAGAAGCTGGAATTGGAGGCAGAGTCAATACGCAAACTGAGAGACTCACAAAATGAGATGTTTACATCCCAACCTTTCTGCTGCATGAAATCATTATCCCAAGTTTGTTTCGTAGTAAGGTATATGTTTTTACTCTTTAAGTGATGATGTTGTCTTGGCTTCTGTCTGGATGACAAAAGGCCAGGTGGAATATTCCAGCCCAAAAGGGATACTGAGTCACTTCCTCTTACATGCCCTTACAAGGCAAGTGGCTTTGCTCAAACATAGAGGGTACAAAGTGAATGTGCCCTATCTTACCTTGTTCCCTACAGCCAAGAATGAGGAGAAATGGAAGTAGTTGGTAAACAGTTCAGAGACCACCCCAGAGCCTGAACTTCCTTCTGTCTGATGGGTCCTATTGTTCTTCACAACACAGTTGCACAACTGGAGTCATTTACATAAGCATTTATTCTGAATCACAGTAAGTTAATTACATTATTTTGGTTGCTTTTGTTATCATAATCCACAAACCAAAAGTCAATATTAGATTGTGAACTGCATTGTCTAATCACAGTCATTCAAATGGTGCTGCTTGTTTACTGAGTATAAGAACATATGAGTGACAACCGGGGGACAGGCAATAGATTCTTTCCCATCAATCTTTTGCTTACACTTTTATAGTTTAGTATATTCTACAATAGCATCTACAAAAAAGAGTAAATGAAAAATAAATTATATTGTGTGGATCTTTAAAATTTGGACATTTGCAATTATTTGGGAGGTAATATAATCCGGTGGATAAACACATGGTTGTTGGGCTCACTGGATCTCATATGAAAGCTTCCTTCCGCAACTATTGATTGTTTGCCTTTGAATCTATGAATTATGTTAATCTCAGAACTCTTCCTCACTTGTAGACATATTTAGTTAAAATGATGTATTTGAGCGTGACAATTTTTAAAGACATTTTATTTATTATGAAGGCAAAGTTACAGAGAGATGTTCTATCTGCTGGTTTACTCTCCAATGGTGGTATGACGCTGTTGCCTGGACCAGGCTGAAGCCAGGAGCCTGGAACTCCATTCGAGTCTCCCATGTGTGTTTCAGGGGCACAAACATGTGGACTCTCTTCTGCTGTCTTACCAGGCACATTAAGCAGGAGCTGGATTGGAAGCAGAGCAGTTGGGACCTAAAGCAGCATTCTAGTCCGGGATCTGTTGTCAAAGGTGGTGCCTTAACAATTTCCATAGTGTGAAGTTTTCACACACAGGCATGCACTCAGTCATGTGTCACTTAACAATGGGGCTGCACTCTGATAAATGTACCATTAGAGGGTGCCATCATCATGTAGACATGAAGTATGTTTATATAAACCTACATGGTAGGGTCCACAACACTGCATGATCCATGTGATTTAGGGCCACAGTAAATGGTGCAACAGATGTAGAGTCTAAAACAGAAATAATAATGCAATCAGGAGATGCAGAACATGAGGTGTGAGGCTGTAATAAAGCTACTGTTTGACAGTAAACTTTTTTGTAAGTAGAAATATACTCTAATGATAAAAAGAACATTATAGTAAACATAAATTAGTATTGGTCATTTATTATCATTATTTGGCATTATGTAGTATACATACTTATATTGCCATATTTTTATAGACTAGAGGTACAATATGTTGGTTTATGCCAGAATCACCTCAAATATGTGAATAGCACATTGTGCTATGACATTGTGATAGTTACAAGGTCAGCAGGTGATTGGGATTTTTAAGTCCATTATAATATCATGGAACAACTGTCTAACACATTGTTACATGGCTCATGACCTGTATATATTAATATACTTAAAATTTGTGATGGATGCATATGTAGAATGGTGTGTGTGTGTTTACATACAAATGTGCCAAGCTCATAATTATATTTTGGTACATGATAATGTCACCTTCATGACAACTCACGAAAAAAGGAATTTTTATTATTCTAATTTCACCAGTGAGTAAACTGAGGTTGAGGGGATTTAAGTAATCATTCAGTGATCATAATACCAATTAATGGAGTCAGCTGTGCTCAGTCATGGAAGAGAAATGAAGAGTCTAATAAAGAGAAATGATAGTTAAGTTACAGTTTCATCTGAAAACTTGGAGAGAATGAATAATGAGAAAAAGTTATGATATCATCATTTCAGTTTGAAAATTTGGGACCAAAAATACTGTTTTGGTAAGGGGCAGTGGGAGTGAGACCAAGAGGATGATCAGGATTACATAGGATTATAGTGTCAAACATTTAAAAAATTTTTTTTGTGCTCAGAGAGGAGATGGATAGAAGAAAGCTTCAGCTAGTTTCATCAAAAAGTATAGCACATGTAATTATGTATGGTGATTAACACTTGGTAATGCTAGCAAACATCTTGGAGTGTCTCAAATAAAGTAAAGAACAAGTGGAATGCAGGGAAAGAGATGTTTTTGAACAATACAGAAAAAGAGATGAGGGGCTTTGGCCATTACATGCCAGGGGTGCCTTTTTTTTTTTCTTTCAGGAACTTAGATCTCTCCAAACTGTTATTTATTGGCCAGTACTGCAAGCTGTAGTGTGCAAAGCTACCTCCTCTGATACTGGCCTGAGTGAGTTTGATCTTCCATCTCTTGTTCACTCCTCAGATGCCTACAACAGCTTGGGCATTTCAGGTCAGAGTTAGGAGGCAGAAACTCAATTCAGGTCTCCCATGTGAGTGGCAGGAACACAAGTATTTGATCCATCATCTGCTGCTTTCTAGAATGCACATTATTAAGAAGCAGGAGTTAGAAGTAGTGCTACAATTTGAACTGGTATGACATGTGGGTATCCTAAATGGTGTTTGAATTGCTGTGTCAAACACCTGCCTTGGAGTTTCTCTTTGCTTTGGAAGACTTGTATTTGTCTGGAGGCTTGAAAAAGATGGATACATGTATGTATCAGTGGGAACATATCAAATTAATAGTAATGGAAGGATGCCCCTAGACAAAGTTGGCACAATATTTAATATGGCCATTCAGTACCATGCTGGATATTTCTACCAAAATTCATTGTGATTTTGAGTGACAAAGAAAATGGATTTTATGGATAGGAAGTGGGTACATTTGAGACTTAAGACAACATTAAAGACTTGTTTGGAGGCTTCAACTCTTGGAACATAATTAGACTCTAGAAGGTTCTGAAGTACTATGCAAGATGTCAGCATTTCCAAATGTAGAGGTCAAGTTTTGGGCAAAACATGAACTGTAGGCGTGGGGAATATGAACAATTGTTTACTAAGACTATGACTAGCAGGTCAAGTAGTAGATTTCCTTTCTCAGGGATAGGGTTGAGATCATGATCCTGAGAGTGTATTACAAAAATAAAGTAGGTGAAAGTTGGGTGAAGACAAAGATCTGCATTAAAAGGGTGAGGAAAAGTAAGGTTAACGTATCAGATATGGACTTGTTGGGATTTGGCATTTATTGACATGTTCAGGAAAATTTCAGGCTAGAAGCTGAGTCACAAATTGTGGAGCATCCCATTGAAATGAAAGATGAATCTGGAGATGAGAAGTTGTCTACTTCAGGCAGAGGGTGGTGTGCATTCCTTGTACTGCTGAAAGAGGGGTGGGTGTGGAATGTAGGAACTTGAAGACTTGTAGGAGAGGGTTCACTGTGATCCATCTGGGAGGAGGTATGGTGAAGTTAATGCAGAAGGATTCAAAAACAGAATAGGAAAGAAGTTTGAGAGTTGGAAAAGTTTTTCCCTAGTAGCTTTGAAGTGCCACAGAAAGGGCAGCATGACTCATAAGAGGATGAGCTAAGGGTGAGAGAGTAAAAATGTAACATTACCTGAAGGAAGAGATCCTCAGTAAATTGTGGGGAGATAGGGAATCCAGTGCCACAGCTGAAGGCTAGTGGCTGTAGGAATGGGATCTATCCATTCTTCCTTCCTCTCCTTCCTCACCTTGTTCTCTTCTTCCCTCCCTCCTCCTCTCTTCCTTCCTCCCTCCCTCCCTCCTATTGTTCCTTCCTTTTACTCCCCTCT